GTGTGTGTGTGTGTGTGTGTGTGTGTGTGTGTGTGTTTAGTCCCTAACTATGATTTAATATTATCCCATTTTTCTAAATGTTGACTAATACTGTAATTGTTCAGTTATGTCCTGTTCTGGCAAATGATATTAGGTGGAATATTTGTTGCTGGTTTTTTTCTTCTTTATTTTCCTTTTGATTTTGCAAGACAAGGTTTTGCCCTGGCTATCCTGGAGTTTGATGTAGACAAGACTGGCCTCCCAAGTGCTAGGACTAAAGGGGTAAGCTCTGACATTAGGTTTTATGTCAATCAGTTTAGCTATCTAGCTACCTATCATTTACCTCCCCTATCCATCCACCCATGTGTTTTTGAGACAAGGCCTTACTAAGTAGCCTTGTCTGACCATGAACTCCTTGTGTGTATCAGTCTGACCTTAAACTCACAGGGATCTATCTGATTCTGTTTCCTGAGTGTTGGGATTAAAAAAAATATGCCAATATGCCCAGGCTGGATTTCCATTTTATATAAATAAAATCATTACCCAATTTCATTAAAATATACTAATATAGGTAATTCAAGAATTTGGAAAAAGAAAAGAGCAATGAAACAGCACCTGAAGTTTAAGTCCCTAGAAGTTCTATACAGTGTTGAGAGAATAAATGATGTGGATAAAAGGTGTCCACTGATTAGATTGATTTTCTCCAGAGTTCTGCAATTCATGGGCATTAGCCAAATTATATTTCCCTTCCCGTTGAAAATTGAGAAGTTGTACACTCTTCCTATTAGATGACATACATATTTATTCCATAAACCTCTTGCAGAAAGCAAACACAACCCCTTCACAGAGCCTATAGAACAGAATGCTGTAGAGACTATGACCAGTATAAATTTCCCGAGTAACACCTATTGGCAAGTTGATATTGTAAGCAGTAATCTAAAAACTACTTTAGATGCTGAATTATTTTGAAATCCTTAGTTATCTTTGGTTGTCTTGTGCCCATTTTTTAACTCAAATGCCCTTTACAATAACCTCCTCTTTAACACTTATTAATAGATAACATACATAAGGTACCTTCCAGGAAACGTCTTTTCTTTCTTTCTTTTTCTGTATGTTTTCTTTTGTTTGTTTGTTTTTCCAGACAGGATTTCTTTATATAACAGTCCTGATTGTCCTGGAACTTGCTTTGTAGACCCTGCTGGCCTCAAACTCACAGAGATCAGCTTCCTCTGCTTCCCGAGTGCTAGAATTAAAGGCATGTGCCCCCAAGCCCGGCTCCAGGATGATTTCTTTAACATTACCAAGCTGAGTGTCATGCTATGTGTTTATACCTCTAGCCCTCCAAAGATTTTACTTCTCAAAAAGCAGTAACTATGTGCAATAGTGCATTTCCTCATTTTTTTACCAGCTACATTCTTTGCTTCCTGAAGGTAGAAGCTTTGACCTACTTGCTGTTCTCTCCCCTCTGCCTGACAAATACTATATGTGCATTGAAAATTTATATGAAAGCAGGAGCCATTTTAAAAAGGAGAATTTTAGAATTATGTTACCCAGGTTAAATAATGCTTCTGTCTTTACTGAAGGCTTTCCTTCACCAAGACATTTAATGATTCCTTTGCCTCAATTTTGCCCAGCAATACAAGCTGCAAAGTTTTATGTTTCCATGATAATGAATTCAATTTTCACTATAAAACCTTATGCTATTAATATATTTGTTCTGATTAATGAAGCTATGGCAACATTTAAAATGTGTAAGGGTCATTGATGGCTTTTCATCTCATTTTGGCAGGCACAGGCAAAGATTTCTGACAGGTCACATCCCATCCTGAGTGTCACTGAACAGTTTCTGGGCAGGAACTGTCTAGTGTGGATTTTAATCAGGATTAACTTTCTTATTTTAAATTCATTTGCATGATTCTTTGCAGATTGTGCAGTGTGACTGAAAAGACCAGAGGATCCAAGCTTATACTAACTACTTTGGTCCTCAGAATAAATCTGCTGGGTCCAAACTGTTGCCACTGTTGATTTTCTGGTTGTTGTGATTCATTAATAAACAGGTGCAGAGATAGTAAGTGTGAGGTCTCAAGTTCAAAGTCCAAACATGTCAACACTTAAAATTGTTCTAACTACCTGCTTCCGACCTGTGCATCTCACAACACAGGAGAACATCACAAATGGCTTTTGAGCATTCAGGTTCAGCTTGCACTGGAGCAGATGATGTTTAGAAAAAGAAAATGTTCCTTTTCCATGACAAGAGTTTGAGATGAGGTGCATGAGCAGAAGGTTAATATGTCCGTCTCTCCTTAGCATCACCCCATCTCCCTCATCTATGCCTTCCCAGGATCATATTCCCCTTATTCCAGTACTATCTTCACCAGAATTACCTCCAGACCCTCTATCCTGCTCAACCCAGAATCACTTCCATCCTCAATTCTTTTAGCACTCTCTAGGATCACCTCTAACCTTCCTTTTCTTCATGTTACCTCCATCCTGTCCTCAGCAACAACTCTCTATCACCTTCAATTCTGCATTAATTAGCATTACCTTCATTCTCACCAGTATAACTTTTAATTTTTGACACTTTCAGAATCACTTCCTTCCTCCCTCCATCAGGTCTCCATCCTGCTTCTGTTCTGTTCTCACCAATATTACCTTAATTCCCCCAACTATCCTGTCCTTAGCAACATTATGTCCATCCTTGTCAGCATCATCTTCTTCCTATAACTATCATATCATCTTAGAGAGGATTTCTGTGCTGCCAACCATTTCTTGTCTACACTTACTGAAGAGTTCATAAAGTTTCAATCATTAATTGTTTGTCTTTCCTAACACTACCCTTACAGTCTGGCTCAAACACCCACTTCTATTACAATATTTGGAATACATGCCTTGTTTTGGCTGTTCTTTTTATGTGCAGGTTCTGAGCCATAAATGCCATGGCTATGTAAATTAGGGGTTATCATGTCATTTTATAGATGAGAAGGCTAATGTTCAGGCAAGCTCAGTATTCTATCCGTCAGACACTGGTGGTAAATGGAGTAATCTAGAATTGAAACCCATCTCTATTGGCCTCTATAACATATTGTCAAGTGTACCCTAACAGTATTTCAGCATAGCTCTCCCCTTCATGTCAAAGAGGTAGCACAGCATGCTCTGATTTTGTTGGAAGTGCCTTTTAAGTAAATGAAGACAGAAACTGGCATAATAGAGTTTAGAAATCTTTAATGGTATTCTTTTGGATTTATATTATCATTTCTGAAGTCTCAATGCTCAGAGATAGGATTATATCTTAACTTGGAGAAAACTTTCCCTCCCTAATAGTGCAGCAATTTTAAGAACAGGGGAGGCTGTTTTCACAGTGTCTCCTCTGGTTGATTTCATATTGAAACCTATTGAAATTTCTCTATCGCCTTAATAGCTGCTACTTGCATTGATGCCCTGTGCATTCATCAAGGTTGGGTTCTTTTCAGGTGTAAGTCCCAGTGTTGGGTTGAGCCCATGCAAAAAGTGACAAGAAAGGTCATGCCATAGGCCAACTAGTTAGCTCAGAATCCCATGCTGTTTGTGACAGAATGTCTGCCCCTTTCAGCTTGCTCCAATAAGGCCACTTGCCAGCCCAACCAATGTTAATAATGTCCTTGCTTTCTCATTCTGAGCCAGAATGGAACCAGGGACCTAGAGGTGAAAGGTTCTCTAGCCTATTATGGATTCCCTGAGCCAAACTGTACTGGATGGTGTCCTCAGGAATTATTTTTCCACTTAATATAATTCAGCCAGGCTTTTCTCAGGGATCTGCAGTGAACATCATTTCTATAAAAATAATTTTTTTGAGTGGGAAGAAACACATTTTGTTATGCTGAAGGTAAGCAAAAAATGTATTTGACACCTCAGGTAATACAGATTTTTTTTATTCTCTCCTTTTCTGAATTCCTTCTATTGAAAATTGTAATTTTACCATATTTCATTCCAAAGGAGCTATTCGTCATTTAAATCTCCCATCCAATGGTGCATTTAGCTTGGGAGCTGTGACACTGCTGTGCTTATAGCACACATGCTGGACATTAGAGATTTCTTTCTGGAAGAACTCTAATTTTATTCCTTCATTATTAGCATCTCAAATTTGTCTAGACCTTCCTAATTGGACCTAGTATGGCTATGGAAGCTGGGGAGAATCCCTTCCTATTTTCATGTCCATGTTTTTTTGTTAAATTGTTTGTTTTTTGTTTGTGTGTGTTTACAGATTTAAATATTTTATTTACTTAAGGATTAATTTCTTTAAAATGAAGTACAAGTTTGTTTGAACAAGTTTATAGAGATGAACAAAAAGGAAGGGAGAAAGTTTGTAGCTGATATACACCCCAAGTAGTATCACAAAGAAAATAAGACAGGAGAGAGTAGAATGATGCAGAGAGAGAGAGAGAGAGAGAGAGAGAGAGAGAGAGACAGAGAGAGAGAGACAGAGAGAGACAGGAGAGAGACACACAGAGAGAGACAGAGAGAGAGACACAGAGAGAGAGAGGTTCATGAGGAGAAAGTGACATTGAGAAAAGAAGAGAATACTAACTGTTAAGATCACCACTTTGTTACTTAAAGCTGTTTTTGACAAGTGACAAGGCTGTGGAATGAATGCGAAACTCTAAATTATGCTTAGATATAAATGAGTTTGTTAGCCTATTCAGTCTAGTTCCTCAGATCCACTCTCTGAACTCAAGAGTTTGGGAAGTGCTAGTTATCTGTACCATTTTATGTTGCTGTGGAAAGTCCTGGTTTGGTAACACCAGTTTGTGTGGAGCCTTACCCTTCTTCCCTCTTGTATTTGCAGGACATTTCAATGAACAGAAAAGCTAGTGGATTGTGGTCTTTGAGAAGCTGCTTAGACATGTCTGTTTCCTGGTTCTCTGAACACGTGGCAGAGCTGTAAGTAACCTCTCCACACTGCGTGATGAATTGGATGGCTTCAGACCGGAGGCAAAAAAAATAATTGTCTCATTTTCCTGCTGATTTGCTTAACTGGTGGGAACATGCCAGAAAGGCTAGCTGAGACGATCGTGGCCCTCTGGACTCCATTAATAATATTATGGATTACCCTCCCCACTTGTGTGTACATGGCTCCGATGAATCAAGCTTACACATTATCCACTGGATCCCCTTTGGAACTAGGCAGGCAGAGTGAAGAACTGCGGATTTTGAACCGCTCCAAAAGAGGCTGGGTTTGGAATCAAATGTTTGTGCTGGAAGAATTTTCTGGACCTGAACCTATTCTTGTTGGCCGGGTAAGTTTCATTTTTAAGCTCCCTTTTCAGGGTTCTGTTCCTAGTCTTTAAATGTTTCATTTCAGCCTCCACACAGTTTTTCATCACACTTAACTGTAAATCCTTTAGAGCAGATGGTTAGTGAGCTAACCTGTTGGTTTCTTTAGAAATATGAATAATCCCACAATTTAAAACATTCCTTTAGGAAGGGTTAGTTTCCACAACACTTCCATCCTTTACAGAAAAACAAGCTACTTGGATAATGCATAAACAAGTAAAATGCTTTCTTATTTTTGTGAAACCTCTTTTGTCAAACCTTTCTCTAGATTCTAGTATTTGAATCTAGTACTTAGAAGTTGCAAGCATTTTTTGTCCAGTTTGAATTCCTATCACCACCAACTGTCAAAATACTATTTTCGTCTATTTTAAGGTTATATATCTTTTTATTCCATTGTTTGCTGTTTCAGTCTTTAGGAAGAACAAAGCAGTATTTGTAACAAAAGCGCTGGGCAGAGCCTGGTGCTCACTTCACAGAACTTCATTTCTGTCATTGTCAAATGGGATCAAATACACAGAGGGAAAATTTGAGTACAGCAGTGAATACCAGTGTTTACCTGTATGTTACACTGGGTTTACATTTGTTTCATTATTGCTTCAAGTTCTTCTTGTAGACACTGGCTCCCAGCTCTCCAATATGGTGTTACAGTAATTCAAAGACAGGTACATGTTCACTCCTCAGAAACATTTGTGTTTGCTCATTTTAGCATTCACGATTGCCATAGTTCCCATTCTGGGGATGGGCTAATGCTACGTCAAAGTTGGTAGCATTCTTTCCTAGCATGTAAGAAGCCCTGGTTTTCTGTAAACCAAGTGTGGTGGTACATACTGATAATCCCTTTAGAAGGGAGGATTAGGAGTTCAAGGCCATCTTCTACTACCAGGGTACAGGATAATCACTTATCAAAAAAGAAAAGTGTGCCTATCTTTGTTGACTCCACAGGGGAGGCCTTGCCCCCTCTGGGGACTGGATGGGTGTTTCGAGGTGAGGAGGTGGGGTGTGGGAAGGGGGTAAGGGAGAGCTGGGGTTGGAATGTAGAATGAGAAAAAAGTTTTAAATAAAAGAAAATAACAAAAAAATTAAAAAGAAAAAGTTAAAAAAATTTCTAACATGAACCAGACAATAGCTGACTTTGCTGATAAACAAGATTAATAAATGAATCACATGTTATTCCTTTCCCAATCTCAGTGACGTAAAAGGGAAGTGGCAGGGCTCAACATACAGATCTTCAAGATGTAACTCTAGTGTCTGACAAGGCAGTTTTGGTGCCTTTGCTCTGTCCTCCTGTATAACAACTGAGACTCCTCGAGGTTTGTCTCTTTGTGGTTCAAATGTTAACTGTTGTTTGTGACAGAGAAGGTGTGTAGATACCATGTACTATTATACCAGGCTTCGTGGAGTCCTACCTGGGTACCAGGCACTAGGTACAAGCACTTGGAAGTATCCTACTAAAGCAGTGATCTTTGTCTTCAAATAATTCATATTCTGGTCAATAATGAGTGTTTACTATGTATTAATTGTTATTATAAAAATACTTTGTTTGCACAGATTTTTTTACTTTAACAATAGTACAATAGTTGGTCTTATATGCATATGAATGTGAAGGCAGATAGTGTATATGTATGTATATTTAGTGTATATATATTCACATATATGCACCAATATAAAATATATACACTAAAACATATTTGTGATCCCTTTGCTTAAAGAAAAATATCCATAGAAGATTTTATTTTGATATAAGCTCTGGTAGCAAAAGTGAGTTGAGGCTATTTATAGTCATAATGTATCCCATTACAAGGCTGTTCCTATACTTCACTGGAAAAATGTTAATGTAGTTGATTACGGGGTGCTGCCCTGGACCCTGCTGAGGTTGTTACTTAATCTATAGTTTATATGCTTTAATGTGCTTCTAAAAATGGGAAAAGTTCTGAATTCCAAATTGCATCTGGCTCCACTTGTTCTGGATACAGACTTCTGATTAGCTTTATCATTTCTATAAAAGCAAAAACCAAACCTTAGATAAATGAATAAATCAAATTATGAATATGGAGAAAGTAAATGTTCTACATGGGATTAAATCTTGTTGGAGATTTCCAAGATCATAATTTCAACCATCATACCATATTATGTTTTGGTAACTAAGTACCTGGAGTTTATAATTTGCATGTGAGTTTTGAGTACAGGATATAAAGGCTGTACATTACCTCTTCTCTATATTCAAATTTTCTTTAACCAGATTTAAGGCAAGCAATATTCATCCCATATGAAACTCTGGAGTTACATGCATATGCAGTTAATGGATGGATGATTCCTGCCTGCTTCTCATAGTTACCTTGTTACGACAGTTTATCAATTAAGATGTGTCCTGCATAATATAAATAAGTCTATATATCATACCCAGAAGAGCACTCCATTTTGATGTGAATAGAAAAAGTAATTAAACAAGTATATTTTTATTTAGAATCTGATTGTTGATTTCACCTCCATTTCTAAAATGAAATAAAATTGATAGTGTCAAACAGCCCGACATTCAGGATTCCTGTTTGGTTTACAAATGCTTGAGGTGTCCTGCTTCTTTGAATGATAGAAATCCCAGTGAACCTCGGGACTTTCAAATAGCCAACATGCTCTTGAGTCTGTCAGTAATAGACACTGCATGTGAATTAGTTCTTCTCTCTGCTCTGTACTATGGCCATTTCCCCAAACAACTGTAAAAACACAATTACATTATTTTATTCACAGAATTTTGCTGCAGATATTTTTAATCACATGTATTTCCCTTTAAATCAACTTGCTCCAAAATATGACAGCCTTAATTTTTTAGTATTGTGAACTTTTGTAAAGCAAAAAAGAAAAAAATCTATTTTAGATGACTGCTTCAGATTATGTGTCAGGCTGAGTGCAGGGATGATCCACTTCGGGGCGCTCACTGATGTTTTATGATATTTTAGCTTTATTCACACTCTTCTACATTTGACTCTTTAAACCACTTCACTGTGGAGCTTCTCCCCAGGACCCAGCTGAGAAGCATTAGTTACCTGTGAGCACACCTGCTCTTTAAAAGGCCCTCCTGCAAGTCGCTATGCTGGGGGCCTCAGACCTGGTAGGCTGAGTTCAAGCTCAAGGGCAGAGCCAGCCTTTGAGCACTGGGCTCTTCGGAATTGCACATACACCTTCATCTTATCCAAGCTCTGTTTTTACATATTTGTGGCATTTAGGTGTGGAAAAAGAACCTAAGTATAAGAGATAGACTCTCCACAGCTTTTGAGCATTGTTTTTGTCGTTTTTTGCATGTTAACACTAGGATAATTATTTAAGTTTCTCAAGGGTTGTGCAAGTACAGATATTAAAAGTGAAATAATGTTGGCTGCATGATATTTGTCATATACTAATTATAATTATAATTGAGTTCTTAATCTTGTGTGATTTGTGCATAGTTGTACTAGATATATTAGAGAAACAAACAAAACAACAGAAACAGCCAATCACTGATAACTCTTTGGGTGAGCACAAGACTATAGTGACAAAGGAGACCCCCCTTCTCTGGTCCATATTTCCTAGGATCAGAGTAAGGGCTCCTGATTCTCAGTCAGGTGGGACAGTGTAGAATAGGTGGGTATTACTTCAATTAATCAGAGGATATCCAACTATTTGACACTGTTACTCCACATTGTCATGCACAAAGTTCTCACTCAAGAACTTCATGTTGAATTATGAAAAAATATCATAGTCTTTTATGTAAGTGTACAATTTTGTGATATACCACATTCATAGCTGTCCATGCTCATTTGTGGTCCATTGGCTGCAAGTTGGATACACCTGATATAAAGTTATGGGCATAGACAAAGATAATAGAAAACTTCTGTGGTCAGAAGCAACATTAGTCTTTGTATTTCTTGTTAACATAGAAGGAAGTAGAAGCCATTTTCAGATACTCGATCTCTTTCATTTTGTCTGATACATGGTTGTTCCTCTAGTATTTCTTGGTCTTTATCTACGCTGTAATGGACATTCTACCTAAACAATGAAGGAGTTTGGAGAAGCCATATAAGCTCATTTAGATTTAATTCAAGTGGCATTTTCCAATAAAGTGTTTTTTACAATTCTTTTGTGTTCTCTTTCACATAGCTATACCAGACAGGGAGCTACAATTGTTTATTTGTATTGACTATAATGTCTCTTTAGAGGTAGTAAAGGTGGAATGTCTACTTATGAAAGAGACTACTCTTTCAAAGAGTTTGCAGGATTATCTCTGGGAGCCTGGATCTCTCACCAGTGGCAAGTGTAATATATTTCACACTGTTGTGTATGATTTTGTTTCAAAGTAGTCTAGATATAATCTTTCAGAATTTCAGAAAGACTAATAAAACCCTAGCAGACTCCAATGTTGTCTCCAGTTCTCTGTGGTAGAAGGTTACCCCTAGCCTGTTCATAAGCTCATAAATAGTAAATGCTCCATGTCACTACCAACTGGCAGCACTGAGTTTCTCTGGAAATTCTGACAAAGAGTATAACAGTTCATGGGACTATTAAACAGAATAATCTCATGTTTTCTGATAGTAAGAAAGAAAGGGGAGAAATCCCACAGTGGTTTTCGATCAAGTTTGTAACTGAGACAAAAAAAATCCTTGTAAATTGTGCATGCATATCTTCTGACAGGCTGTGAGAGGCCTCTGTAGTAAGGGAGTCAGGGTATGGAGACAGACCATGTCTGAATGTTGAGCATCTGCATCTGTTACATCTGTTAGATATTCCATTGTCAGTGGAGTCTCAGCAATGAACAAACAGCTCTGGAGCGAGAGGAGACTGATAAAATTAATCGTGTGAATAAATGTCATATTAAATTGAGGAAAGTACTCTGAAGTGAAGGTATGTGCTTGTGTGGGAGCAAACAGAGGATGCTAACCTATCCTGTAGGCACATGACATGTTCCAAAGAAATAACCTGTGAGATGAGACAC